TGATGACAGTGAAAGCTTGCTTGTCACTGCCACTGAGAAGCATGGAGTTATTTTAAGCTGATCTGCTGCCAGGCATGTACTTCATGAAGATATTCACAACATCATGCCCTATAAAATACTCACAGAATCCTGTCTGAATAAAAACTGGGCAAAAATTCACAGTTAACAGCAAAGCAAGTCCACCGTGGGGGCCAAACATTACTAAATGGAAGATAATCTACAAATAGTTCTCACCCGGTCAATGAAGCACTGCAGGAACCACTTCGTTGTGTATATCCCTGTAGTCATCTGCTCCTTGTCCTAGAGCAAGACAGCAAATGAAGAGACATTCATTGTACCAGACAGGCTGCTAGAGACAGCGAGTAAAGTTCATACTTTTCTTTTTAATGCTGTACTAGGCACGAGGCCTGGAAACAGCTTGCCAGGCTCTAGATAGACCTATGAAACACCATTTAATCCGGAACACTTCCCTTGTCCCTTCTTGAAACAACAATAGGAAGAATCAGTTCAACTGTAGCCAGAGTTTCTTGCTGAACCTGAATTATCTGTACATTTGCATCCCGATTTCTGGATGCTTTCTCAGCCCCACAGGAGAGGATTTGTGCTAACAGGTTTTCTGGCCCAATTGCCAGCAGCTGCGCTCATCATCAGTCCAGCTGGGATGCTGGGAGTAGTGAGGGTAAGATCCTTTCTGTGCCAGTATAGAAATTCCCTATACCCCCCCATCCCCAAAGCCCCTTTCCACCTTCACTATTAACTTAGTCTCACAAATGACTAGGTCCTGTAATGGAACAGATAGGCCAAAACAAGTATCTACACCTTACAGCTGACTGGTCACATGCCAGTTAGCTGAAGAAAGCTAGCTTACCTCAGTACTCAGGCTATGACCACTCTGTGTAGGACAGTCAGACCTCAGCCCCAGGCCCCTTTGCTAAGAGCAGAAGGACTGAGCTTTCCCATACGCTGCCCTACAGGGAACACAGCCCGCTCTCTATTCAGTATTTATTGGCTCCTGGAGTCTTTAGAGTTAAAGTATTTATGTTCCTGTTGGCTGGGATGTGCTTCTCCCCACCCGTGCTCTTGACAGTCGCAATTAAGTGAAAACCCATCTTGGTTGTATTACACTTGTACAACCAGGGCTGGTTTGTTGGCAGCCCTAAGCGACAGCTATTTTGGATAATAACAATATAAATGGCTTTTTCTGGAAACATGCCACTGAGCCCCTCTGGGAGGGTAGAAAGCCTTCAGGAGCCTGCCTCCAAATTCCAAGCATCTGAAAATACATGCAAAAAAGGAGAAGCAGGTGTCTCAGAGTAGCTGGTTAGCTGTCAGGGCTTAATCTTATTCTGCACATGCTGCTCCAGCTGACGACTGGTCCCATACCATCTGCTGGCGAGAAACACAACTGGAGAGGCCAAGCCAGCAAAAGCAAAATGAACCATCACATCAGTTCTCCTATTTCCTGTCTCCTTGTGTTGGAAGGAAGGAAACCTACCCAAACAGCAGGACTGGCATGG